TTTTTATTGCTGATTTAAAATTGAGGAAACTGAGGTACAGAGATATTATGTTAGAAAGTAATGGAGCTAAGAATCATACTCAGTTCTGTATGGTTACAGTGCTCATTCTTTGAACAGCAAGGACATAGTCTGAGCTGGTACTGAGGTTAGAAATTTATTGTTCAGGAAACATTTGAGTGTCTTAAGTATAACAAGAACTAGGATCTTTTCACTCTAGCAGCTTAGCAAGAAAGAAGTGGGAGGGATTATATATACAAAAATGAATGCAGTAAAAGTACATTAGAATAGAATTTGTATTTTGTCTTTTTGGCAGAGGGAAATTATGAAAAAATTTTAGAGATTGGAGAGAGTTAAAGTATATATTAGGCATAGGGTAAAGAGCCAGCCAGTTAGAGGGAAAGATTATATAAAAGAGAAGGAGCAGAGCAAGTTTCCTGCTGTAGAGGAGATGGGTGGGTCTATGATCAAGAGCCCAGTGAGGAAACTAGCCTTGAGCAAAAGAAGGCCTATTTCTTCCTTCGAAAATCAAGAGAAATGGGTGAGAATGGATTCCTTTAATTCTTTGTGTATGTGAGAAATAATAGGCAAACAGACCTGATAGCCTGAACTTTAAGTGAGAGCCACNTCTTCTTCTAGTGAATAAGGATGATTTGAACTGAGTTGGTTATAATTTCTGACACTTGACTAATTTGGTAGTAGAATGTGAATATTTTTTCAGTGTACCTTTTAAACTGCTTTTTTATTTTAAGCTTGTTTAAGGAGGGGGTGATGCACAAAGGCCTACTCTTTTAGGGTGATTGGAGAGGAGGGTCAGAAGGGCGAGGGTGTGAAATGCCTAGAATCCTCTAGGAATGGAGTAGTCTATGTGAAGTCATCCTGCCTCTATCTAGGATCTTTGGCTTGCCATAGGTCTGCTTTGAGAGCCTTGTCCCTTAGTACCTTTGCTGACTCTCTTTCTCCTGTCCTAGTATAGCCTATGACCCATTCTTTCTCACTGATAATTCTTCAATTTAATACTTTCTGTTTTCTTTCTACTGCCCGTAACTGCTGTTGATTCTCCATGTCAGAAGATCTGAACTCTGGTCATTATTCTGTCACTTATTAGTTGTATTTTTTGTGGGTAAAGAGGCATAATAAAATGAAAAGAGAATAGGATATCAAATCAAAACATCTGATTTCTAATTCTAGCTCTGCTACTTAAATATGAATTTTAGCAAATTGTTTCATTTTTGAGTCTGTTTCTTCACTTATATCATTATAGTAATGGCCACTACATGCTGTACTCACCCTGTGCCAGAAACTATTCTAGATGTTTTACATATGTAACCCTGCAGAGGAGGTAGTATTTCCCCAATTCTGAAAATAAGGAATCTGAGGTTCAGAGAAGTTAAGTAGTTTGACTCAGAAGTTGCAGTGTTCATTTATGATGGACATGTCAGTAGTTCTCTGCTGGTCTCAGAGCCATATCCCTATGTCAAGTTTTATGTGGTTTTTAAGTCTGTCTGCAATGTGCTTTCTTTCTCCTTACCTCACAGACCTGCCCATTTGTTTATTTTTTTCTTGGTGGCTGCCTGGTATGAGGATAGACCTGCCCATTTGGCTGGAGGTTTCTGGGGGAAGAAGGTCTAATGAATAAATGATGCCACAGATAGTGTCATAAATCACCCTTTATTTCTTTTTTTTTTTTTTTTTTTTTTTTTCCGT